TTTTACATGGCTCTGGTGGAATTACAGGCACATGGAACTTGTCAACTTATGTCTGAGTGACGGGCGTAGTGACAGTGTCCCTCACATCTTTTCGATTTAAAGCTCTAAATGGCACTGCAACTGTTATGGACAGGCGTGTAGCTTACCGTTACTCGATATTATAAAAAAAAACAATCACCATAATCACATCAAAAGAAGCAATAAACAATATATAGCAAAATATAGGAATACGCCAACCAAATGCTAATCATGAAATGCCGCGCTACAAAATCAATTAACAAAACACGATACTTTGATGAGCTTGAAATATGAATTTAAAGTAGCATTTTACACACCAATTTTGACCGTACAAAATTCAATAACACCGAAAAAGTCGGGGGTTGCGACAACGCGTTACTAAAGTGACAAGAAAATATCGGGACACAATGAAATAAAGTTGTCATCCCCAGCGAAAGCCGGGGAGCGTGCTAAATGCATTAATTTGGCCTGGATTTAGTGGCCCGTAAGTGATTTGCTACGGGAACGCATGTTCCACTGTGATATGACCCTGCGACGACTAGGCGACTATTTGACCCTCTTACCCTAACACATAATTTTTTTTCCCTCAACAATTAAATATAGTCTTTATTCATTTGTGTTTGAAGTCCGATTTCAATGGCTAGATAAATATTTAAGGGTAATATGAATAGGTAATGGGGTTCCGCATCGTTATATTTTTTGTTAAGGGTCGTTAGCGCGAAGACTTAACAGTTTTTACGCTTTTGTTTGTCGCTAAGCTTGCATGAAAGGTGCTTAAATTTTAGCGATTTTAATCCCTTTAGAGAATAAACCCGCGGCAGAAAACTAGATTTTTATCTTTAAGACTTAAACAGTAGACTTATTACGTTTTAAAGTAGAGCAGATACAAACAAAAGTTCTACAGGACTTAGGACTTAGTTCTATAGAAATTCTATAAAGGTAAATAAAAAGAATATTTCATTCATGCGTTCGTTCCATTAAAAAAAAAGAAAACTAGATTTTATTTAAGACTTAAACAAACTACTTATGTTTTAAAGTACAGTAAAAACAAAATTTGTATTGGACTGAACTTCGATGATGGTACATAAAAAGAATGAAAGTGTATGTGTTATGGCAGTTATTTGTTTCTAATATAGTTAAGTTTAAAAAAGGCTTCTTTTGCCATCTTTTGCATGAGGTTTTTTTTTATAATACTAAATGACGACGGGACCAACAAGTGCGTCTTGTGATAAGCTACACGTCTATCCAACAGTTGCAGTGCCACTCAGAACTTTAAATCGCAAAGATCTGAGGAGCATTGCCACTGCGCCCGGCACCCTGAGACATAAGTTGACAAATCCTATGTGCCTGTAATCCCACCAGCACCCTTACCCTCCGAAACCGGAACGCAGTAATGCTCACATTGTTGTTCTTTCACAAGGAACTCTTCTGCTACTAAAATTACCTTTATTGAGCTGTATATTAAATTTAAAACCACTAATCAATGTACGTAGTAAATAAGTCACAATGTAATAGCTATTGGTAAATCAAGTAAAAAAAAGTTTTGTCATTCATTCATTTGTTCGTTTCACTAAAAATGACGTCATTATACTAATGCGCATTAATATTGAGAGTATCATTGAAGTATTACTTTAAATTATTTAAAAATGCCTCATGAAAAGCATACTCTGTCTCTAACAAACGTCTTCATATCTCTTTACACCACTAACTAGTTTAGTTATACATCAATACGATGAGCTCTTATATATATGTATGTATGCTCTTATATATATATATATACATTGCAATATCAATATTACCATACAGAAACCTTCCACTTACATCATACTTAGCGAAATCAGACGCGAGTTTACCGTAAGCAAATGAAACTCCTGACGTTAATACATTCAACCTACAAGAGCCCTCCATGCTACAAATACACGCAGTATTCAATAAATATGAGGCCATCAGACATACCTATCTCTCTATAAATGTACATAGGTAGAGAGTTAGGTGGGTAGACCCCCACTGATAACTTAAAGACTTTATCCCCTGTACAGGAATTTTTACGGTAACAAAAGCCTTCATATTTTCTTTATTCATGCCGTGTCAAAATCGCTTCCCCCTCGCAACGAAAAAAGAGATAGCCTCCCAACTCTTTCGCTCTCTACAACGACCATATATATCTATCTCAGAAATTTTCCCTCTGTTTCGGTTTTTATGTTTTTCTCGATATTTTTGGTACTTAATGCTTTTTTGAGCCGTCACCAACAGGGTGATGCGCGAATTTCTTAATTAATTTATGTTAAGTACTTAGGGAAGGGTGTTTAAGAATTCTGACGGGTTTCGGCTCGTAAACGACGGGTTTTTGTAGCTTAACGGTGTTATTACTACATCTTTCTCGCTACGTTAACTTTAATAGCGTTTTCATTAACACTTCTTTTGTAAACGTTTTCTTGTTTTGAAAGAGTTGAACATTTTTTGAGAAGATAATATTCTGTTGTATCGTGGTATTGTGTTTTCGTCACACTTTTAAAGCTTACTGTATAACATACTACCTAAGTAGGTGCTTACGTACACACGCAATGTATATTGTTTGTGGTACCGTCGCGTCGTTGTTTCCAATTTCCACAACAGAAAAAATAAACAGCTTTAGTTACTTACTTTGGGATCAGAGCAAGGTATATGATGTTGTCTAATATATTTATATTTTTTTATTTAACATAAGGTAGGCAGAAACTATGGACCTCCACCTGTCACGTTCCTGATAAATCTCATTCGCCTCCTCCACTCCCATCAATCTCTTCATACACGCCTGTTTATTCTTGACTTTTCTAAATGCAAATCCAAAACTTCTTCATATCAAAAGTCTGATAGGATTGGCGGAGAGATATATGCCAGAGGGGCAGTGATAGAGGTCTCTAACGACCCCTAAAGGGATACTAGCGCAATGATACGCATGTACGAAATATAAATGAATAGCCAAATACTATTTAATCTCATCCTAGTTTAGATTGTCAAAATTGACCGTCACGTTTACATCACGACTTTAGTTCGTAATGCAATGGAGTAGAAGACAATAAAAACTTTCCGCATAAAGAATATCTTCATTGTTATAAAAGCATCAACCTTCGCACGAAGACGTATCGACGAACGCCGTTGTAAGGGGGTCGTATTCAAAATGGAGAAAAAATGAAGAAAAAAGTTATAACGTCATATTGTTTTGCCACCAAGTGAAGGGGGGAGCGCAGGGAGCCCTTTACAGTGCCGGGAATGATAAGACATCCTGTATATAGAACTATAGAGGTAGATACCGGCCCATTGTATTTTTCATCTCGCCCTTTCGTATTTTCAAAGACGCTCCGATAAAACCTTCGCTTTTTAAAATTTTGTATTGGAAATTCGAATGGAGTGAAATATTAATTTGGAAACTCGGGTAACTTCGGGAACCGATTATGTTTTTATGAGCTGGTATGTTATAATGGCTTAGCACTAAACATTGGTAAAAAATTAAATCTCTTTTGCCCTTAATTTTAGGCGGAAAACACGCGTTGCTCCTTAGGATTGTAGTGGTTGAACAAAAACCTTTATACTTATTATATAGAGGCTATGCAGCTACTATATAATACAAATATTGTGCGTAGACTACAAAGAACTAAACCTTTTGAGTTAGTCTATAATATTACTACCAGTGCTAGTTAGACTATGAACACATAAACAAAGTGTCTTCCCGTTTATAAGTCGATGGACAATTTCTTTACATAAATGACTTTTATTTTAGGAAATTATGTTAAATTAAAATTATTAGTCTTGCAAAAAGGTTACATTGTTATTAGTTATAAGGTTTATTTATCACGGGCTTATACAAAAATCGACTAAAAGATATTTTCCATGTATAAATATTATTTTGTTAATAGCTTTAGGTGCTCTTTAAGATACTGCATTCTATTTTCTGGCATATCTTTTTATAAATTATGATGATTTGCACTATTTACCGAAACTTTTCGGTGATTTAAAGAAATTTATATTAACAAAATCGTAGTTTTATAAAAAAAAACATTTGGATGTAATAATCTTATATATTTCCATTAGTTTTTCTTAAAGAAACTAACACGAAACGAAACTAAAAAAATGCTAATGAATAACAATTAAATGGGACAGAGACAATTAGACTGCCTACTGAAACCATACCTGGTACACGCTTTGAGACTTATTACCAGTACATTGTCAGCTGGTTAAATTAGTCTGCCTACGATTTGTTCTGTCCAAACATAGGCACTGTATGGCAGACAGTTACGTCATGTGTCCAAGTGACGTTTCGTCATACCTTTTTTTTAAAAAAAAATGTATGATCGAACGTCCCTTGGACACATAACGCAACTGGCTATGAAGCCGGATACTCTGGGAGACTCCTTACGTGTACATCAGTAAATATTAGCAAGAAAAAGATATAAAACAATTTAAATCAAATATACTATTTTGCAAATGGTACGTAGCATTCCTTTCCTGAACTTCAGCAGTACTCTGGGCAACAACGGAGAGTACCGTACGCCCTTTGGCATATCCTTTACGCAAGCATTATAGTGTATGTTATCGATACGATAAGAAGAAGACGCTAGTAAATGTTGAAATTCGTTACAGGCGTTTGGATACTTATTCCGGTCATTCCCGGGCTATAATTTCCCGGATAAAAATTGCCACGGAAATTAGGTAGTGAACACTAGCCTGAGAATGACCGATTCTTATTGTACGTGTAATTTTATTAGTAATTAGACCAAAGAAGACTGTGTAATACACGATTGTACACAGTAGATGATGTAAAAAGATCTAACCACTCGTCAGACGATAATTGTTCTGTTAATAACTAACAAATAAGCTTAAGAAATTAATTCATTAACACTTATAAATTCTGCACGTTTTATAAAAGCTCCGAATATTGGTGGTACTAGAAATCAAGCCTCCAACTTAGTGCCTTAAAAAGACTTAAAAATTAAAGTACTTACACTAGGAATATTATCCGAAGTACAGATGCCCTCACTGAGCAGACGATCCCTGATCTCCCAGGCGAAGATTGAAGGACACTCGCGCTTGAACTGCGCGATCTTGCTGACTACCTCAGCCGTTGCAACGCGAGGTTTGGACCCGCCGATCGCACGAGGCCTTATTGACCCCGTCTCGTAATACCTGATAAAGGAGTTTGAGATAATAAAAAGAAGAAGAAGAAGAAGAAACTCCGAGAACACTGAAGAACACATAAGCAATAATTTTGCAAATAGATGGGCTGTATTAATGTATCCTCCTATGTTTGTATGCTCTGTAGCAGTGGACCTCCTTGTGAAAAAGTTCGTCCAGGGAAGCCTTACCTATTTCTGCCGCCAAGCAGTAATGTCAGCAATACTGTGTTCCAGTTTCGAAGGGTAAGGATGCTGGTGAAATTACAGGCACATGGGACTTGTCAACTTATGTCTCAGGGTGACGGGCGCAGTGGTAGTGCCACTCAGGTCTTTGTGATTAAAGCTCTGAGTGGCACTGATACTGTTATGGACAGGCGTGTAGCTTAGCATGAAGCGCACGACTTGTTCGTCCCGTGTTATAAAAAAAAGCTAAACTAAGTTGGCTTAGATTCGTTCGCGGTGTAGCCTGCCCTCTTATTACGACGATGGTGGAATGGTTCCAGTGAGGGGCGTGCGGTCAGCCCAGCAGCGCCGGAGTTTTAATACGTTAACAGCTATACCCTTTTTATTATAAAAAATTAACGTTATAACTATCCTTACTAAAATTTGCAACTTAGAGCTCGCAGTGCTTGGCAGTATTTCCCGTGTTTAGTTACATACTGCTCGCAAACTGTCGCCGTTACCTTAACAGCCCCATGACACAGTATCGTGTTACCGCCACGTTGCCTCAGAGTATCGGGTTTTGTGTTCGGTACATGAATTTTTTATTTGCAAAGTGGCCAGCTGTCAGGTACGAAAATTATACTAACCTCTTTATTTATAGGAGAAGCGAATTGGTTGATTTGATACAGCAGTATAGTCACCTTCAGGTTAAGCTACACAATCTATAGCTTTTTAACTGAAAATGTTAGCGTCCACATTTTCAGTTAATATGCAAATATATAAATAGTTAATATATAAACGACATAGGCAAAGTACTGTACAATATACTTGACACAAATTATATGGCTTTTTTTTTGTCTTTCTTCTTTCTTTCTTTCAAGTCCCAAGTGCCTGTAATTTTACCCTTACTCTCCAAAACCGGAACGCAATAATGCTCGCATTACTGCTTGTCGGTAGAAATTGCTAAGGTACTTCCCTGGATAAACTTTTACACAAGATCTACTGCTACTAAATATGTTCAAAGACCCCTATATACGGTACTAAGTCTTCACGATCCGTCGTTTCAGAGTGATCGAAAGGATGAATTGATAGTGCATGTTTATGTCGTTAACGATTAAATTGAACGCCGATCGAGTAGCGAAGGACCGATAAGATTACCGAGATCACCGATCGAAACGAGGAATTCTCTGTATTATGGGGACCTAAATGCTCATTTGTTTAAATCAATACTCAATAATCATAAACAACTTTTTACGTAATTTTTAAGTTTTTTTTTTATTGAATGTTGCGATGTTTCACCATGATATTAAATTATTTTTGTAAAATTACTCCATTACTTTGTTATAATTATTAATATAAATCGAGTTCTTAGGTTTTCGCGATTGTTACACACAGGAAATGAAACTATTTTTCCGGATTTAAATCGCGTATATTTGTTTTTTCAAACAAAACGACGTTTCGGGCCCTTTACGGGTCCCATGGTCACGGTTGACTGAGGTGGTACAGTCTTCAACCAGTTATGTCTAATATTGATGCAAACCACCTTATTTTTTCCCGCGTCAAAGAACATATAGCTGATGTCAAACACCGTCGCGTAAGCAAGTCTGCAGTCTGCGAGCATGTCATGGATAAACCTACACATTCAATGAAGTTTGACAAACCCCAGGTCCTTGCAAAAGAAGTCCGGTATCTACCCAGGATGCTGCGAGAGGCCATTGAAATTAAAAAACATCCTAATTTCGACAGGGAAGATGGTTTCTCCGTACCACCAGTTTGGGATCCAGTATTTCCTCTAATGAAAAATCCCAAACATACATAAGACTGCAGTACTAATTAATATGTTTTAGTTTATTCTAATTTCTATCAATAATTAATAATAAATTGAACTTAATAAAAATTCATTCAATAAAATAATTTGTAAAACTTAATATAGCGTAAATTGGAATGTTTTCTTTTTAAAATTAAAAATAAGGTATTTAATTAATAACTATTGTAACTATAGTGAAAAAATAGGGTGGTATTCATCAATATTAGACATAACTGGTTGAAGACTGTACCACTCAGTCAACCGTGACCATGGGACCTGTAAAGGGCCCGAAACGTCGGTTTGTTTGAAAAAACAAATATACGCGATTTAAATCCGGAAAAATACTTTCATTTACTATATTAATATAAAGATTAACACTAGGAAAAAAATTTCTTCGATCCGATCCGATCCGATTCGATTCGATCCGGCTGGATTCGTACCAACATCTTCTAGCAAACTGTGTCAGACGCTATGTCAACAAGCCACGAAACGAACCAACGGACTCTACGAAGTTTTCTGTGTGCTTGTTGCAAATCTTTGAGTGAGAAATCTATTTCTTCACTCAGCCAGGCACCAGCAGCTCACTAGAGATGTTGCATTAATAATTGAATTATCAGGTTTTTTTATTGAACCCAGCCGGATCGAAGGAATTTTTTTTAGTATTCGCTGTTTGTTTGTATTAATAATTATAATAAACTTTTTACATGTCAACCGCAAGCAAAAAGAATTTGTCATGTTATGCTTCCATGTAAAAATAGAAGCTTTGACTCAAATTACATCATACAATATTCAACCTTCATCGTCACCTTGTTGCTTAACACCAATTATAAAAGACCTTTTTAATATTAATAGTTTCATAGACTCCAACGGTCTGTAGGTAATGGTGTGGTAATATTCAACCCTGTGGTTAGAAGGTACGGGCGATCGTGGCTTAGTGGTCACGACCAGTTAGACACAGATTTGATTCCAACTGCATTTTTGGGATAGTTTGGTGTAAGGTTGCTAGGATTGGCCTTACTATTGCGGTTGTATAGGTAATTCTGGTCGATTGATTTTAAATGATGTAAAGATGAAAAGTGACATGCTAAGCGACTTTTATGTAATTAACTTAAAACCTTGGAACTTTGTCTTCTTGGAATTTTCACAAAGTAATTTTCCCTATTAACAACGCAAAAATTAAAACCAGTTTTATTATCAGGTTTTTCCCCACCCCCTTATCTCAAATAATAAAGCCTTATGAATCTGTTGCAATGATAAAAGGAACATATTTTTATAATATCAAGTAACAGGACGAACAAGTTTTATGCCTGGTGGTTACACGCCTGTCCATAATAGCTGCAGTGACACTCAGCGTTTTAAACAGCATAGATCCGAGAGGCAATACCACTGCGCCCGTCATAAGTTGACAAGTCCTATGTGTCTGTAATTTCACCAGCATCCTAACCCTTCGAAATCGAAACGCAATAATGCTCACGTTACTGCTTGGCCGTAGAAATAGGTAAGTGAGTAGGCAGAATTCTTTCACAAGGAGCTCTACTGCTGCGAAAACGTGTACCCTTGGTATTATAAAGCCACATGTGATAAGTCAAAAGTGCTTTTATCACATGAAAATCATAAAAATAATACGAACTATGTGAACAAAATTACCTATGTATGTGTGAAATTTTGTAAGTCCCTATGTGGCCCTATTACGTCATGTATATGACAACTATTTTGACGTTTAAACGCTTAAATTCAGTATTACCTTTACATTTTTAAGCCTATGCGATCCCTGAATTGACGATATTATAATTAAACCCAGTTTATGGCAAAAGAGATCGTTAGTCATTCTTCTTCTTTTTCTTTATAATGTTACAGCTCGCTAATGTCAAGTTAAGGAAGACATGCGATTTTTACTCAATATTTGACCGGTGAATTTCGATAGAATTCGCTACGAGGAGAACCTACCACAACAGACAAAATATACAGACTATTACAGTAAAAAATTGTTACTTTTACATCGTTAGTTAGTATATGTATGGGCAATGGGATTGACATTTCTTGTAATTCTTATAACTTTCCTTGAATAGGAACTCAGGATGTACTGAATCGACTTTACTCGGATGTGACGACCCACCGAAGATGATGCGACGATTGCCTATAAAATACAATTAATGGACTGAAGAATAAATTATCTTATCTACCTTAAACTATAAAAAAAATTCACTAAGACTTGCCTGTATGATTTTAAATCTTTGTCTTCACCGTAACGGATAGAATAAAAAAAAAACAACAGACGGTAGTTTCATAGTATATTAAGGCAAGTTTGGTAACTCCATACAAATAGAGCAGCGTGTCTTGTATGTGTTGCGCCTGCCCCGCGCGCCATGTACGGACGCACACATTCTGATCATTTTGATGATTAAATGTTGAATTGAAAATTGTCAAAGATTTACTGCGCGATCTGGGTCCCTACTTACTAATTACTTACTGTAACTATAATCAATTTGTTCATGGGTCTACCTTAGTTCAACTGCTTACGCACTCTGGATAGTTTACTTCCAACATTATACCTTGTCTCTTTTTCTTATCTTCTTGTCCTTCTCTTTCAACGTTCGCTGTACTTACCTTCCGAGGATCTTGGAGACGCAGCCGTTGGAGACCTGCAGGATCCGGCTGATGTCGCAGGGCCGTGCGCCGGAGTGCGCCAACTCGACGATCTTCTGCCGCGTGCTGTCGGGTAACGGCCGGCCTCCTACAAACACCCCGCCGAGCTGGTTAACACCGCTGTGACCTGCCGCACCATAACTCTGCTTACTCCAATTAATCACGTTTCTGTACATATTTAAGGCTTGTCTGGAGCCATGGGCCCTTGAGCCGTAGAAGTAAAATAGTGCTCGATGCCTTGAGATTTTATAGCTTTTTTAATTAAAAATTTAGACTCTGGAAACGCCTGTTTTTGGTGAAATGATGCTAACATTAGGTCTTATGAGTACGAGTTCTGTGGCCATTGGTCAAAGAAAGAATTGTGCGACTATTTGAATTTAATATTTGGTAATCAGGATATTCTATAAGAAGTTAAATTGGCCTGATTACCGGTACAGTGCGTGATTTTCTCTTAACGAAGTATTAAACTTACGGAAATTATTATAAAAATAATATAAAAATGGTGAACCTTATTTGAGTGTGTTCAATAATTAATGAAAAGCATTGTAAATTATCGAAACAACGAAATTGCTCGTGAATGAAGGTAAATGCTAATAAAATGGTAGAAATAACTGATGAATTACATTGATGTAACGTTTTGAACACCCTCAAATAACAAAAATAAAAATGGCAGTCACCATTACCTTTACCTTTGTGGGCGAGGTCGTCCATGCGGTCGAGCAGATTGGCATCGGGGGGCCATGGGCTGATGGGCGCTAGCTGCTGCGCCGGCAGCATAGTGTACACGCCGTAGTCTTCTATGGTGGCGCCCTGCGGCATAGTCCGACTGTGAGTACACAAGGTCTAAGCTACAAGAAAATCGTGAGTATAACGCACGACATCACGGACGCTACGTCGCAACTTTAACGAGATTTCAATGCCCTACAAGAAAATTACTATTGTTGTTTGGAAGGAAACTCCATTAAGAGTCGATACTACCTCACCTCGAATTCAAATTTTTCCCGTAATAATACGGTTCATTTTTCTTAGGTCGAGTGTCAGGAACACTGGCTTTATTTTTTTTTACAAACGACATTAAAGCAATTTGATAATGTAGGAATATAATATGTATACTATACTGTGATTGTGTTCTATTTAGTGCAGTTGATAAAAACAATTGGTATATGTAAAATACCCATTGAATACAGCGGTTTTTTCTTGTAAAATTTGAATTAAGTTTGTGTTTTTTTTCCATTGTGAACATTTTTAGGAATCGTGTTTTCACGCCGTAGTAATCAGTGTATATACTTAATTTTACTATGTATTTTTAATCGACTTCAAAAAAAGGAGGAGGTTCTCAATTCAACTCTATGTTTTTTATGTGTCTTACGCGAGAACTTTGTGAACCGATTTTGATGATTCGTTTTTTCTTGGAAAGAGGATATCTTAGAAGTGGTCCCATTTAAATTTGAAGAAAATATTCCACCTCTAAGGGTGGCAAACTAGGGAGAATAACTTTTGTGGTCGGTTTTTTAGTACATGGTACTGAGATTATTTCCAAAGTGATTAATTTAACACTTCCACTGTTATGCGCAATTAACCGAAGCCATTTGAGGTAGGTATATAGATTCTTAATATGCCATACTCTTCTATGCAAGCAAAGCGTAGTGTACTGAATGGTATAATCAACTTAAAGCGTTAGTCATCAGGAGATATTCTGATAACATTATAATAGAATGAACAACTTGAAATGATCATGATTTTTCAGTACGCGAAAGATGAGTTGGAGGAATATGCAGTTAGGCGTTATTCAAATTCAAATTGAAAAAAAAATATATTTCGGATATTCATCCATAAGGGTTAGTAACAGTACACTTAAAATAGGGTTAGTATTTGAAATAAACATGCATTTTTTTGTATACATTAATGCATTCGGGTCCATTGCTCATGAAAAGAACTCTGGAGCCTGCACGCGATGACATTCACGAGGCTTGCCGCTGCCTTTAATTCTGCACATCAGCAAAGCCGCTCTTTTTGCATAACAGCTTCAAATCTTAAGTATTAAGTTGTTAAATGAGTTGACGACTACTTTTGTGCCGTCAATATCTGATACACGTAGTATTCTTAAATTATGGCTTCATAAGGCCAATGTTTATAATCATATCACGCACCTGTGCACGGGTTATACAAGGGCAGATAATTAACAGTTTACAAATATCTCGAGTGCTAAGACGCGTAACTACAATGGACAAGTAATATTGTGTCTTTAATATATTGTGTTACAATATAACACTAGTTGTTTCGTTATTAAACTGTATATAATCATCTGTCAGGTAAGAATGTCCTCTAAACACATTTGCCTATTAGGTCAATGTCTAAACAGATTACTTTGGATCATAATCCAACACGTGTTGGTCAATGGGGACAAGGGGCTTTACACGATTTCGAAACGTTTCATCGCGTTGTTTTCTTTACGTGTAAACGAAGAGATGTTAGAGTAAACTCAACTGCAAATGATTCGAAAAGATTTGTTAGAGCTGGCCCTTCGATGGGAATTAAACCTAGTACCTATTACAGAAAGCAAGAGGACTCTACAAAGGAGGAGGCTACAAATTGTCTACTTAACTGTCAAATTTGTACTTAATCGTATAATTGCAAAGATGAAAACGCGACATTCCACTCATAGCGGCGATAGAGCAGATAGTGGCTTTGTACTGTTATCTAAATGTTCTGGCTTGAAAACACGAGACAAAAAGAGATTGTCAATTTGAATAACGGGATGGACATTGAAAAATAAAACCGATTCTTGCTCCGATATGAGACTTAGTCATCATACAAACGACGTTGTAAAATGAAAATTACAAGTAAAGAAATGATTGTCAAACATATTTTCTGATAAACAAATGTTAACAAACGATACAGAATTAAATTTCATCGGAGCGTTCACACGACAAGCGATTGTACTCGTACGGTAAATCATGAGCAGATTAAAAAATGTTGCATTTCCAATATGCAGTTCTAGGTTTTTTAATATTGGTCGTTGAAAGTCAGCTCACGGAGGCAGACGATGTACCCAAAGCTCTTCCTGAAGAATTTGTTTTGGATTTGTATGAGAATTATAAGGAAGCGGTTGGAGATGCACATGGTGAGAATTTGTATGTTTCATTGACGTCATTGGTTCTTTACAAAAGCATCCTAGTAAAAAGTCCATTTAGAAAATAAAAGTCACCAAATATGGAATTCAGAAAGATAAATAGTCACATGAAGTTAAATCACATCAGTCAAAGAAATTCATAAATTATGAGGAAGAAAGGATTATGAGCTTACAAGTAAGTAAATGCAGTGTTCAAACAGTGGTTTTCTCGCCAGGCGAGGTGAAGTCCAGGTGTATGTCGCTAAGAGTTCCATTAGATCAGATGCAAAAACCTTAGGTTCGCAGATTATTTATTTATTCCAGCTGTGACAATAAATCGTGGAGGCCTATGTTAAATGGGACTTTGACCTCCTATAGTCACAAAGAATCTATAACGATAAATTAATATTTAAAACCTGAATTTTAATTAACAGAAGAGGGGGTGGTAAGTCGCCGACAGTTGCGTCTGCTGAACAGAGAATTCGATATCCACGTCCGGAAGCTTAAACTAGTTAATGGTTATAAAGCACACAATCTTGAGATAAAAGAGAAAACTGATACCGGTCCTCTCGTTTACATTGACAATCCACTCGAGAGCCGAGTGCCCCACGCCTATTTATCCTTGGACGAATTTAGAAACGAGTTAGAGAAAAGAGCAAATATACAAAGGGAAAGAAAGTCTAAGGGAAAACAAACAGAGGTACATTTCGAAAATTCTGATGTCACTTTCGCGTTCAGCACAAAAGATAAAAATATGAGAAGAAAAAAGGTGCTTGGAGGCGATAAGATATTCGGGGCAAAGCATACTAAATCTAGGTATTTTGAACACACTTATACGCCTAGACTGAAACGAGGAAAAAAATACCATAACATGACTTCATATTATTACGAAAATCGTAATTTAAACATGGATATAAACAAATTATTGCACTCCATAAATCATTTTAACAAAAATATCGATACGACCCCACAACGAAAATCTAAGACGCAAGCCACAAGAAAGAAAGGTTTACTGGTTTCGCCAAAATCTTTAACCATAAAAGTACCAGGAAATGTCGCTGTGGTTAAGTTAGCAATACAATCAGAAATTGGAGGAATTTCCGAATCTATAACGACTCCAGAAGTAAATGGGCAGACAGAAACTATGAAACTAGAAAATACTGTGAATCCAGAAACGAGGGCGGCTACAGAAAGTACAGTGGATCTAGAGGCTGTTTCGAAATCAATAATAATGCTTCCAGAAAAGAGTGATCTTCGAGCAAGTTGGAACCTTAACCGGGTGCGGTTGCAGGGTGTAAGGAGTGGAACCACAACGACCAGAAAAGTGATTAGTGTTACTATGAATAATGCTCATACCATACCGACGAGAACTTTATTTAAAAAATCACGTACGTCAACAATGATTCGAAATGTAACTGAACAAAATTATGTCAATAGTACAATACAGTTAAAAACAAATAAGGATAATGAAACCACGAACACTGAAGGGGATTTGACCGCTTCAGACAAGGATATTACAGAGACAGAGACGGCGATGGAAGATAATGAGAATATGACGGAAGTTGATGAGACAACGACGGACAAGGACGTAACAGAGATTGTGGTGACAACTGAAGGTAAGGAAACGTCAAAAGATGATGACGTAACAGGGGTTGTGACCACGACTAAAGTAAATGTGGAAGCGAAGGAACAACCAGTGAGACCTATTTGGATGAGACCACGATACAAAAAGGTTACGACCACTAAAACTACAACTACAAGACGGACGTTTGGGGTAAGTTTACGTAATTTTTATTTAAAAAAAATGATACTAGGATTTTGCTTTTGTCCTTATTATCTGTTTCCCATTAAGTGATGAGAAAGTTGCAGTTTTAGCGATTTTTTGCGTAGCGCGGTAGCAAAACACTACCGCGTTATTGAAAAGATAATTCCAAAACCTTTAACCACTTTTAAGAAACGGTTCTTTATTTTTTAATACAAAAGACAATTACTATTTAAAATTTAGGATCTTACAATAGTAACTTTTTCTTTTTGAACTAGATAACTATAAATTTCATTATAGTTTTATGATTCTGCCCTCCTTGTCATAACTAACGCCTTGCCTTTCGGTAACTTTCGAGATGTTGGGACCTAAACTTTAGGTCTACTTATAAGAAAACTGAAACTAAATAAGTTATTAAAAACCGATTAGAGGGGGTCGAAGAACTCATTTCGCTCATCCCAGATATTTTAATAACACAATTTCGCTAAAAATGTCGATTTCGTTAGTTATGATAAGGAGAGCTGGATAGGTGTTCTGAAGAATGTTAAAAATTTTAAAAGATTTTAATAGTCCTCCTTCCACACATTTATTATACATATATAGGTGGCAAATAATTAGGTACAAGTTTAGTAGCAGTAGAGCTCTTTGTGAAGGAGTTCGTCCAGGGAAGTACTGCCTACCTTACCTATTTCTGCCACCAAGCTGTAATGTGATCATAAGAAAATTACGTTCCGGTTTTGAAGGGTAAGGGTGCTGATGAAATTTGGGGTAAATGGAACTTGTCAACTTATATCTCAGGGTTGCAGTCGCAGTGTCCTTCAGACTTTGCGATCGAAGCTCCGAGTGGTACTGCAACTGTTATGGACAGGCGTGTCGCTTACCAGCGACACTTGATATCAAAAAAAAAAATTTTGAGTCAACTATTTATTTACGTACTAGTAGTGGAGAATCTGGTGAAAGAGTTCGTCCAGGGAAATACCGCCATCATACCTATTATGCCGCCAAGCAGTAATGTGAGCATTACTGTGTTCCGTGTTTTGAAGGGTATTACAGGCACTTGCAGGACTTGTCAATTTCACATCTTAGGGTGACAGACACAGTGGCAATGTCTGTCAGGTCTTTGCGATTTAAAGCTCGGAGTCGCGGCACTGCAACGGTTATGGGTAGGGCATGCTCCCGGGAATTCACCGGTTAAGAAAATATCGCGAAATCTCGGTACCAGTGAGGTGCAATCACACCCGGTACTGCAATTATAGATTCACGGTACTCCCGGTACCAAGGAACTACCTAACTACTGAGTTATGAATAATTTCGCCCGTTGGCAACTTCGCACGGACGCACGTTACTGCCATTTAATGCTACTGAAACTTATTACTTAACTACAATGTGATTTTACGATGTTATGTTACGTTAAATTTAATAGTAATATAAAGAAAAACCTTTCGTTTCAATTAGAGAATGAAGTCTTTCTTTATTATCTATGGTATTATTATTACGTAAATTATTGTTTAGATACGAACAACCCGGAAATGCATGTGTACTGGTTGCAGTTTAGGCTTTTCAAAAAGTACCGTTATTACCGGGACCTGAGCTGAGCTTAGCACTGAAAATCAAAATTTTAGGAACCGGACCGGTTCTGCGAGTCGTATTTATTGGTTGACGTGCCAATAATCTGCTTATCACCAGTAGCACGTCATCCTGTTACTTTTTTTTGATGTCATGAAAAAGAAACTTCATTGGTCACTTTGAAGTAGGATAACTACAATACATACGAGTATACTGTAATTTTGGTTACCTACCAGTAGTCTGAAATGACAATTTCCTGAAATAACGGTTGCTCGAATTCTCATAACTTCGAAAGAAATTTTAGAGGAAAATGTTTTTTCTTTTAAACCTAACTTAACCTAACCTAACCGAACCTAGTCGTGTCTGCGATAAACATCCAACATATCCTGAAAGAACAACGGTTTCATTATAATTCGGTTTTCGGTGTAATAAAAATTCGAACAAACATTAGTTCGGAAAAAAAATCGAGTTTGTTATGGGTTACCTGTAATTTTTCGAGAAATTAGAAAATTAGTTTATTATTATGGACCCTTATTATTTAGTGTTTAATGCCTCTGCAATGTTATTTTTTGAAAATTTTCAAGTATTTCAGTTTAAAAAAATGTCAATGTATCACTTATGAGAAAACAAATCGATGTAAATAAATCAATTTAATAGGATTCTTTTTTATACGGGAATGTAAAATTTTAAAATCGTGTAAATTCTGATTTATATTCTATAATGATCTTTATATAATGCTAACTTAGCAAAACTTAAAAATGAGAAATGCGGCAGTAATAGTTCAAGGTGGTAGTACGTCTCTGAACGAACTCTTGCACAAGGAAGTCTACTGCTTCTAAAACTAACTGCTGTCTCAACTGATTATACGTCCTATTGCTGGGCACGGCTCTCCTTTCAGACGAGGGTTTAGGCCATTGTCCGCCACGCTAACCCAATGCGGTTTGGGGACTTCACAAGTTTTGCCGAGTGTTATGAACAGGTTTCAGTACGATGTTTTCCTTCATGGTAAATTTCAAATTAAATTTATGCACATTAATTCCGAGAAACTCATAAATGCGAACCCGGATTCGAACCCACAGCCCCCGCTTAAGAGGTAGGTAGTAGGTGGGTCAAACCATTAAGCTACCACGGCTTGTAACTTGTTGTAACTGTTGTCTATTATGTGGTCTGTGGTTATCTAACTGTCGTAATTCAAAATTGTGTAACTGAGAAAATACGATTTGAAAATAAAAGAAAAAATATTGAATGGACCTTACTGCGACTAATGCGAATATTTTTAGTTATACATAATATATTTATTGGTAGTAATTTTTTGATTTTCAAAACCACGATTTTGAGTTAAAGAAATTCAAAAAAATATTTATTGTTCTTTCCACTTTAACAATACAAATTACAGGGTATTTAGAGTAAAGAACATGATACAGTGAAATTGTGAGGTGGAAGACTGGTGCTTAAACTAGGTTGGACCTGTACTGTACTATAGTTACTACAGTATTTGGTTTCACGAGTTAATATTTAGGCTTTATACCCTTCTGGTTGCCTACTATATTATGGAGTTCTTACGTTTTCGCGATAGTTAGACATAGGAAATGAATGTATTTTTCCGGATTTTAATCACTGTATTGTTGTAATGTCATCATCAGGCTTTTCATAATACAACAAATTTCAAGTATAATTTTTACATTCGTCCTGAAAAAAGAATTTAATTTCAATTTTTGAATTAATTCAGTTATAAATATTATTTATTTATTTTTATTTATGGCACAATGTACAGACATCAGGTACAGAAAGTGAGGAAAATAAAAACACTTAAAAATTAATACAACAGGCATATCTGTGCCCAATTATTACTGTGCTCAACATTCATTTTAAAACATTTAGATATAACTTAAACAGACACTAAATCAAAAATAAAAAAAAAAGATTATATATTTAATAATTCAGTTATTTAAATTAAAATAAAGTTAACTGTTCACCATTTATATTTCGTACTATATATACATTCCGAATAACTGTTTTTTGTTTTGTTTTTGTTTCAGAGGCCGTTAGTGTTTATGGATGGTTAAATACGTATTCTAAAGTTATTTTAGTTTGTTTTTAAATAAATATAAAAACCAAATAAACATAGAAGTTTCGTTAAATATTTTCATTTTTTAAATCCGAAGGAACAAGAATGTTATAATTGGTCAATTCAAGAAATTGTCAATTTCAGAAGTGGTCCTTTTTAATTGTGGTCATTTCTCATATTTGACGACCTCCGTGGTCGAGTGGCTTGCACACCGATTTTTATGTTGTAGCCATCCCTGAAGTCCCGGTTCAAGCCAAGGCCGGGTGAATGTAGACAATTAAATGTTCTATATTGTCTTGGATCTGGGTGTTTGTGGTACCGTTGTTGTTTCTGATTTCCATTATTTGATTTGCTTTAGTTAATTACTTTGGGATTGGAGTAACGTATATGATGTTGTCTAGTACAAATATACTTTCAAAATATGACTTATGGTTTGAACAGTGATAGACAAGACTTTACGAATATAGAAATGAATAATCGGAGAAGTAGGCCCTATTTATAAGAATATAAATACTTGATATATTTTGCAAAATATGTATGAAATAAGAGCGGTGGTAGCCCAGTGGAAAAACGATTGGTTCTCAATTGATGACAGTCGATGGTTCGAATCCCCGTGGCAGCATGCATGACAATGACTTTATTTTAGTGACATGACGTATTTGTAGATGTTTGTAGCAATATCTCCCGCTAACAGTGAAAAAGAAGAGATGAGCAATGATCGATATGACAACAAATCTATTTTCACTTCGTATAAAGATATTTGACGAATTAACGTAATTGATTAGTGGTATCAGTTTTAAAAGTATAAGCAAGAGAGAAAGAGGAACACATGTTATAAACTATCAGTAAAAACAAATACCGTTACTTACATAAGTATTACTTACTAATATACAGATTATGTAATGTATAATAGACAACGTCAATATACACGCATATAAATATAAACACATAGGTACTTAATATTGTCAGTTGGTGTGAATTGATGAATATATAAATAATGATAACGCACACACTCATAGCCCCGCACTAAAGAAACCCTTTGTCGTGGGTGACATGGACACATACGTAGAACACCACAAACTCAACACAAGACTCAAATTCACGAGAGAAATAAATATTGGCCATACAAGTTTTTCTCCCGGCCCGGGAATCGAACCCGTGAGAAATATGCGTGGCAGACCGGCATGGTAACCGTTCGGCCACGGAAGCCGGTGAAAAAAATTACCAATTATACGAATTTTAGTTATAACCAATTGTAAATTGGTTCTAGTCTCGGTGTTTTGGGCAATGCCCCTAAATTATTTCCATTGCTCTGATACTCATGGCTCAGGGGATTTTCTAGTATGAGACATGTCTGCTAATTCTGTAGTCCCAAGTCTGCTAATTTTAAATCATCTCAGTTGTTTGTCGATAGAGTGTCAATGGTTGGATTTGGTGCGTTTGGAATTCTGCTCTTCAATGGCGAGACGGTGTGCAGTTAAAAGGTAAAACTCACTAAGTCACATTTTGGTCAAAAGGGAGTTTATTTTCTATTTTTATTTCATTGGGAAAACACCTCCGACAAGAAAAATGTTGTAAGTGCGTAGTGTTCTTAATTATAAAAGTGCATTTGGAAAAAACTATGTAGATTCAATAACATTAAAATCCACTTGCAGGTAAAACACAAAATCTTAATTATCTTCTTATCTTATTCATGACTCGATGTGACTTAAGTTAGTTTAAGTGAATTTTATCTTAAAACCGACAATGTTTGAATTTAAAAAACAATACGATGATTAAGAGTGGTTACACACTTTTTTAACACACTATTTTAGCACTACAAATGCGATTTATAGACGATTGCATCGATGCATACGCGCGACTGCTTCGATACAAACGCGCGATTGCATCGATGCAATCGCTTATAAATCACAAGTGTATCAATGCAATCGCGTGTTTGTATCGATGCAATCGCGCGTTTGTATCGAAGCCAGTCGCGCGTGTATGTAAAGGTAGACGCAAATGCATCGCGTTTGCATCGCTGCTAAAAGCCGCCGTGTGTAACCGCTCTAAGAGAGTTCAACAAAAGTTCCTGAGTATTTATTTATTCCTGAAATCATAGCTGTTTGGTGAAAATATCGAAAAGCTTTTGGTAGCTGCAAGGCATCTTTCATGAGAGAAGCTTAAAGATTCTACGAACATAATGAGTCGGTATATTTTTTATGATTAAGGAGGAGACTTATACGGTGTGTCTTTTTAAGTGGGACTATATGAAAAATTCCAAAACTATAGAAGATACAAAGAAATTGTCTTTTTTGGAAAATAATTTTGGCATAAACTATTTTTTTTATCGAGCATGAGTTGTACAATGAATAAAATTTACTATTTTTTAAAGCTTATAGACTCAGTTTCTTATAAGAATGATTTTAATTGTATTGGAAGAAAAGAAACGGATGAATAAAATATTATTAATTTTGTATGAAAATTTGTTTTTGTTAAATTTGACCAACTTCTGTTGTCCCAATTTTTTACTTCCGTTACAATGAAGTCATCCTTATAAGAAAACAAGTTTATTAGCATTAAAAAGTCAAAAGTTAGTAAATTTTATTAAGTTTGTATGAAAAACATTTTATGAAATTTTACAAATTTCTGCAGTCCCGATTTTTTTGTCCGATACAATGAAATGATACCTTCATAAAACTGAGTCGAGTCGACTAAAACAAATATCTACCAATATTATTAACTTTTATGGACAACTCACGCTGGACCAAAAAACTGACTGTTGGTATAGTAAATTTTTTGGTTTGTTTTCACAAAAAAGACTTAAAGTGGTTCCTAGGACAGTTTCCTTGTAACTTCTATGGTTTCGGATTTCCCAATACTGTCGTATTAAAAAAAAACACTCTGTACATAAAATTTCGCAAATACATAATTTGTATCAAGTAGTCGTATTACTTTTTATAGCTTTCATGTAAAAGGATAAAAGTACTTTTAACGTATCACACGTGGCTTTATTGTAACGAAGGGTACGATTAAAAAAAACAGTAATGTGGAGTTCTAAACTGCTACAGCAATTTACATACTGTTTATTGATTAACACAGAGCTTTACTATGACGTATAGTAGTTTCTAGACATTGATGATAAATTGAGTAATGTAATAAGCGATGACTTCTCTCCGTCTCTCTTTTTAGTTCTAAATCAAAATTCTATTGTCTATGCTGGACTGAAAATAAATCGTCATAGTACTGTATGCAGAATTAGAATGAGTTTCAAAAAAAGAACGTCGTATTTTTGCTAATTAAAATATCAAATATGACGCCAGGTACTTAAACGTTCCACTGCCTCCTGAAACCTCTATAAAAAATGATTGGTGTCCATAGTCTAAGATTAAAATATAAGCTGTACTTGTCCACTTTTATTCTATCTCTATGGTTTTTGTTTTGTAGCGTTAGTTAGGCTTACTTACTTAAAAACAACACATCATTTTACAATCCCATTACAAGAATGTGTCATAAAATGGTCTTATTAAAGGTAACAAACAATTATATTCTATGTGTCATGCATTTCAAAAGTCCTTCTCAGATGTCCTCAAGCTGTCCAGTCGAATTCTTTACGTTCTCAATTTTATTTTAACACATTTCTCTTTTTCTACCAACATACATTTTGTAATTTATAATTAATTGGCAGTTTTTGCCTCAGTGGCAGAACGGTTACCAAGCTGGACTGCCTAGCAGAGGTCCGGGGTTTGATTCCTGGGCCGGGAGAAATGTTTACAAGGCTTACATTTATTTCTCTCGTGAGCTTGGATGCACTTTGTGGTTGAACTACACTACACAGGGTTTCCCTAGTGTAAGGCTATGAGTGTGGGCGTTATTATTATTAGTTTTCTAAATATGCCATATGTACATGCTCCTGAGTGGTATTCTGGTTCAAATCTAGTTTTAATCAAATTGACGTGTAAATTAATGTTGGATGTTGACTGTAAATATTTATTAGTCTAATAAAAATAAAACTAATATTGCAAAAGAGACGATTAACCGATTTAACAAGTATTTGCACTTTTATCCGTACGTTTTGGTTAGGTTGCACCGACCGTATTCACGACAAGAAATTGTTATAATGAATTTCGCAACCTTGTAATAAGGCCACATCTGCACAATGACAAGTTTTCAAAAAAGAGGTTTAAAGATTCTACGAACGAAATTAGTTATTAATAGTTGTGGATTAAGTGTAGCCAAAGTTACAGTACCTTGTTTGATTTGGGTATTAATAATAACTTCTAGAGAGAGAGAGAGAGAGATAGAGATCTCTCGTTTCTCACGCAAGTCATGCCCTATCGTGCTAGCCCTACTGGTGAAGGTGGAGGAAATCAGCTGGAAGCGTCATCATCATCATCGTCATCAGTCCAAGACCGTTCTCTGTGAGACCTTTCGAGGAGACTAAATTATTTTACAGTTCACAATTTTCGTCTGTTGCACGCAACTTGCAACCATAAGATTTGTGCTGACGCCTGTCACAGACGTTGAAGACATTAGCGGGCTTTACACAGACACTCTGTAACGGCCCATTCACTACCTGCATGGCAGTCCGCCGCCCAGACAGGAAACTGCTCACAAACTATCCTCCATAACGTCGCCTTACTTTCTCAAACTCGTATCTTAAAGCACAAAGTTACAGAAATGCAAAAAATGGATTGTAAACACAAATTTTGCAGGCTGAATTCCTTCACATTTACATACTGGCTTTTATCTATTCTTGAAGTAATGCATCCAAATACAACCTCGATTGTAAAGAGTGTAAAGACGTTGGAAGGAAAAGGGAAAGACCGCGCGATTGTGTCAGATGATCAGTCGTGCTCTCCAACACGCGCCAGTTTCTCGCTGTTTATCCTGCGCTATTAGCCTTTACACGGTCGCTCTTTCCGTTGTAACAAAAATGAACACGAGCAATCGCGCGACAGAAAGTTACCTTAAAAAAATTCAAGCAGGTAATCGCGCACGATTGCGCGTGCAGGCTTTTCCGTACGCTCGTGATCACACGCGATAAGTGAATGTATAAAGGGGGCTAATATAAGGCATTTCTTGTTTAAGGTCATCCAGTAATTGTTATGCCTATGTATAAAGA